ATTATATTATTGGAGAACCTAATGTTCTGTTAGTTGCTCCGCAGTGCTGGACTTCTCCATTTCGTGGAGAGTGTTAAAGGTCATGTTAGCAGCCCTCCATTCTCCCATTCCCCTTCTCTCATCTCTCTCATCTCTCTCCTTTCTCCCTTACCCCTTCCCAGCTCTCTCATTCACTCTCTCTCATTCCTCCTTTTCCCCTTCTTAGCCCTCTCATATAACCACGTCAGCATCCCTTTCTTTCCACCTAACTAATCACTCTCCTTAGATTATAGGTGCCAATCACTCTCTTCTACTTTTACAAGCTTCTTCACATGTATTGTTCCTTGCCACCCAATCCAAAACCACCATATATTTTTTTTACAATGGAACTCAATATAATTGTTGGAAGAGAGAATTTGTTGAAACCAGAGAAGTTTGGGCAGCCAGGAAAGCTATATTACAGTTTTGGGAAGACCAAGTCCTCTCATCGGGGATAGAAGTTTGACAACAACCAAGGTTCAAAATATCGATACGTATTGGCCAATACGTATCGTATCGGGGGCTTCCTAATACGCCCCTATAGGGGGTGTTTCGGGGTCCCGACTGGTTCAAAGGGTGGACAGACCTTAAATCGGCCCCTCTGGACCAGGTCCAAAAAAAATAAAAAAAGGCTACTGATACTACTCGATATGCCACTACCGACGTATCGGGCATATCGATATTTTGAACCTTGACAACAACTGAAGCCAAAACAGGAAGAAGAGGAAGAAAGAGATGACACCAGGCAACAAGCCTGGTGGTGGGGCAAAGAAAGACACATCCAATATCACAATCGATGGCAATGAACTTATTGAGAGTGGCAGAGAAGGTAAAAAGGCATATAGCTAGTTTCTACAACCAGGTTTCACCTCCACCATGGTTGTTGCATCTTCTCACCCAAATAAGATGACAATGTGTGGTTGATTTGGCTGAACAAACAACATAACGAGAATAGTCATGATGGTGTACTTGCAACGGCAAGTAAGGGTGTCAGTGGAAAAATGAATTTGGATAGATTGGATGGACCAATAAGGCATATTGGATTGGATCAATCCAGTCCAAAATATTAATTATATTTATATTGGATTAAGTTGGATCGAGCCAATATGTGGTCCATTTATATAAGATAAGAATATAGGTATCAATGGATCGGGTTTGGGTTGAAATCAATCTAAACTAAAAGCAATTTGAACATATTGGACAGTCAATAGATTGAATTGGACCAATTCAAAATATTCATTGGATTGGATCGGACCTGGTCCATTTGTAATGGACTCAGATTTGACTGGATTGGATTGGACGAAATCCAATCTAATTAACACCACAAACGATCTTATATTAAACCAAAAATTAGACTTTTTTAAAGCATATCAAAGCATCCATTAATTAATTAAGAAGGAAGGTCACATGTACATGAATAAATGCTTTGAATGGAGAACTTTCGTCTTGGCAACCTTATTAAAGGGGGTATCCAACGAGTGACAGTTTCTTGACTTTGAGGATGAGCAGGGGGATTCAACCAAATGTATGAGAATTCACTGTGAGAATGACATCCCAGGGGGATTTAACTTCAAATATCTGAGGGATGCAACCATTTTAGACTTTTATTCTTAAGAAGGGAAGTCAAGTTGCATTTTATTTTTGTTTTTAGGGTAAAAGACTTAAACCTCCCTTAACATTTGTGGTAAATACTAAATTTCCCCTATCCTCCCTAGTAATATGATATCATGAGACAAAGACCTCCCCTCTGGTCAACAATCTCTTAGACCATGTTTGGTTTGAAGGAAAGAGGTAGGGAAAAGAAAGGAAAGACAGAGAAATCAATACAAGTTTGTAAATATTTCCTTACCTTTTCCTTCAAACCAAATATAGCATTAATATCCGTTTAATTGTAACATTATGTGCAAATGAAATTTTCCAAAAACCCAATTTTACCCTTTTATACAGAAAATCAGAGGTTCCAATCATTGATGCATCTCTAATCCACTGAGTGTTGGGCCCACTCAAGGGGACGCCCACCATGCTAAAACGAAGGATTGCTCTGTTCATCACGGCTGGAGAAGTTTGGCTTAGACTGGTGGAAGGTGGTGGTGCGCCATTCATTGAAAAGATAAATGCTTTCAGCTGCACAAACCAATACAGCCTAGCAGTAATGGTCAGTAATATTTCCATAGAGAATGGAAACATTGGTGCAGATAGATGCAACATTAATAGCGATTCTAGTTTCTTTGGTATTGCCAATCTTACAAATAGAAGCCACCAAAACCCACTGTGTCTGGAATACAATCTTGCAAATATATGCAACACTCATAATTTACCTCTCTCACAATAGATGACCTTATTCCACTCCCGGTATGCTTTCTCCATAAAAACAGCAATGCTTTAGACAATGCCAATCCATAGAAAATATTGATATCAGATTTTTGGTTCTAACATTAGGATCATTATTTAAGTCCCCATAATAATCCTCTGAACAAGCCTTGCAAGGGATAGTATCACATATGCAGTCACTGATAAAATCCGAAGCCAATGGAATAACTTCCCATGTTTGGTGACAGAAAAACTTTTCTATTGAAGCTGATGTTTGATGAATCTTGACATATCAACACTCTCTTTCACATGTTAATCATGGCTGCATTGTGGCGAATTTTAGTTACTAGTTAGAAAATTGTTTTTATGATTTGAAAATTGGAACAATGAAGTGGAAGTTGGATTCTCGGCACCGTGAGGTCCTAGGGGTGTCAACTGGACTGGATTTGGTCCAATTGGATCCAATCCAATGGGAGTCCTGTAAATGGATCAGGTTCAATCCAATCTAATGAATGTTTTGGATCAATTTGGACCGGTCCAATTTAATGTCTGGGCCATCCAATCTGTTCAAACTCATTTTCATTTAAATTGGTTTCAACCTAAACCCGGTCCATTGACACATATATTCTTATCTTATATCAATAGGCCAGATCGATATTGGTTTAATCCAACTAATTCAATATAAATTTGTTATAGACAGACCAGGTTCAATCCAATCTAATAAATATTTTAGATCAGATTGATCCAATCCAATATATCTTATTGGTCCGTCCAATCCGTCCAAATTGATTTTAGACTGGACGGGGTCCAATCCAAAACCGGTCCATTGACACTCTTACCATGAACCTATACATATTAGCTTATTCAATCTGCCACGTAGAGTACCGGAGTTGCCATTTGAGCTCAGGCTCCGATTCAAACCTCCAGTTTCTTCAACCAAGAGTAATGGCAACGAACTAGAAATTGGTGGTATCTGATTTGATGGCAAAGCCGCTCAGAAGAACAATAGACACAAATTCAATAGTTTTCCTTGAAATTTTGAATGAAAATTAAGGATAAAATAGTCTTTATCACTTTTTTCAAAATCGGACCGGAAAAACCGGGAACCGATTCCATTTTCCTCCAAAACTATTGATTTTTGTCAGCAAATCGCTGAACCAGCCGGTTAACCATTCGAACGGTTTTGACCGTTTTCCAATTTTTAAAATTTCTTAATTTTTTTGTCAAAACGGGCCGACCATTCGGATCAAACGATTGGACCATTCGAACCGGTAACCGAACCCCTAACCGGTTTGTTTTTAAAAACCATGGTCTTTTTCATAAATTCTATCAATTATAACAACATGACGAAAAGGTACAAGTCCTGTTAAAAAAAAAGAGGGGAGGTTTAAGTATTTATGAGAAAAWTTAGGGGAGGTTTAAGTATTTATGAGAAAATTTAGGGGAGGTTTAAGTCTTTTACCCTTGTTTTTATTATGCTTTTAAAATCTTAATTCCTACACTTGGATTAATGTTCCTATTATAATACTGGCTTGGCGTGAGGGGAAAAAACTAATCTAATCTATACTCTATCTATACTTAATTTAAGTAAAATTTATTTACCAAAAATTAACAATTTGTTTTGGTAATTTTGCAATTTTAATTTTCGTAATATTTGATTATTAATTTTGGTAATTTTGTTAATTAAGTATGGTACATTATTTTTTTTTGTAAAATTTTTCATTAATTTTGAAATTGTTGTAATTTATTTTTATTTAATTAATTATTGATAATTACTAGAATTTATCGATAAATTATCTTAAAAATTAACAAAAATTACTCTAATGTACTATTATTAGAAATTAGTGCAATTTATGGTTATTTAATTAATATATATTGCTAATTTGCTATCTACTTTGGTTTTTTCAATTAACATAAATTATTGTTATTTGCATTTACTGTAATTATTAATTTAATTTTGTTAAATTATCTATTTATCAAAAGTTAATAATTTACCAAAAATTAGTTCAAGTAATTTGTTTGCCAAAAAATAATAATTTGTTTCAATATTTTTTTTTCAAAAGTATTGTTGGTATTATTGGTAATTAATTTCGGTAGTTTGATCATCAATTGTGGTAAGCTCTTTTTGGTAAATTTCACGAACTTTTAATTTAAAAATTAGTTAAAATGTCAGAAATTATCACTAAATTATTATTATTTGATTTTCAAAATTAATTAAAACATATATTTGGGGTTTGGAAAATTATAAATTTAATAGAAATTATTAATTCAATAGAAATGATAATTAACCATTTTTTGTAATTTATTTATTCAAAAATATTAATTTAGTGAAAATTAAACCAATAAATAAATATGTAAATTAAATTGTTTGCCAAAAATTAATAATTTGTTTTGATAATTTTGCAAAATTAATTTTGATAACTTATTTTTGCTAAATTTTGTAATTAATTTTGAAGCTATTGTAATTTATTATCATTTAATTAAATATTGAAAAATATCAAAAACTATCAATAAATTATTTTTATTTAAGTTTTGAAGATTAAGAAAAATTACTATATTTATTATTATTCTTTATCGCATAACAAAACCCGTGCATTGCACGGGACCCACCAGTAGTAAATAAATACATATATGTATGGATATGCCCATCCATACGTTTTAAAAGTGGCTTTTACATGTGCTTTGTGTTTTTCGTTACTTCTAGCTGCGGATATCGATATAGCTCCGGAGTCCGGACTATTCGTGCCGACCCACGAAGCTCCTCTTCCTCCCCTCCTAGAATCATACCTTTTTCGCCCGCTGAAAATTGAAGAAATATTGATCAGAAGGAGAAGAAGCAACATGGAAGCTGATGTTTTGATTGACAAAGGAATACATAACAGAAGCTCTTTTTGGTATTAGTAATCTTAATAATCTCATACCTCCAAGGTTTCAACTCGTGGGCTTGATCAGGTAGGTTTCCATTTATTTCTGATTCCATAATTGGTTTTAGATTTATGTGGAATTTAATTTGGTGGTGTTTTGAGATTTGTTCTGATTCAATTGTCTGGAATTCTGTGCAGGGATTGGAGAGTTTTGAGAGTTGAATTGAGTTGATTGTGAAGTTTTACTATTTTGGGTGTTTTTTGGTCTTTGTTTGCGTCTGATATTTTGGTCGAGATGGGTCTGGTAGGTTTTACGAAGGGAGATTCTATAGGGGAACTGGGATTTTCCCTTGTGGTGTCATACATTTCTCTTTGTTTAATGGTGTCGACGGTGACGGCGAATGTGGTGTTGATTGCGAACAATGTAACTATGTCGTTTGCTGACACTGAAGCTAACTTTGGTAAGTTTAATTGTCTTTGTCTGTGCAAGTTGATGTTGTTTTTCGATTGGGAATCCTTGAATTTGCTTTTAAATTGACTGTTAATTTTATATGTTTGGTTATGAGAAATGAGTATGAAGTTCTGAGATCGTTTGTTTAGGAGGGTGGATTGTTACAGCTTTATTGTTTTCGATGCGATTGAGATTCAAACACACTTCTTCTCCTCATTATTATTATCATTATTTATTTTTAATTTTTAACATTTCAGCTCCGACGGTCAAGGGATCAGGTGAGTGTGGGAACATACATGTGGCGGAACCTATTGATGCATGTCTACCGTTGACGAATGAGGTTGATACAGAAGAAGCTACAAGGTCTCCATTCGTACTTATCATAAGAGGTGGATGTACCTTCGAGGAGAAAGTCAGAAGAGCGCAAAGTGCAGGGTTTAAGGCAGCCATTGTTTATGACAATGAAGATACTGGAGTCTTGGTTGCAAGTAATGTTCTCCTTGAGCAACTTTACATGAGCATTGTTTTGAGATGTTCAAGTAAATTTGGGTCGACATAAACTTTTGTTCTCTGTTAAAAAGCATCAGTATGATAAATATGGTTGAATTTGGTTTGGAATATGAGTTGCACCAAGTCTGATTAATTTTTGTTGCTATCACCTCTATTTTATTTTCTGCTTAAATTATTTAACTAAACATTTGTTTGATTTTATTTGCGAATCAATTTACTGGTGAAGTTGGCTAGGGTGTTTATTTTTATTGTATTCTTTTAACATCATTATTTTGGAAAAGGTGCTAAGAACTGATTTCATCTGCATAGAGGCTATCGCGTATGGACCTAATATTGGAATCCTTTTGCTGAGAAACATGCTTTTCTTATGAAATGATTGTCACCACTTTTTGTATGGAGAAGAAAGTCTATTGCTAAGTTAGGTCTAGAGTGTGATATTGGTCGATGTCTTTTTTTTTTTTTTTTTTTGATAAATGGTTGATGTAGGCCAGCTCAGTTCTAGTCCTTAGAGAATGTTGAATTTTCTTTGATCAGAATTTTATGGCTATTGATGGCTGTAATGGCTTCTTGAAGGAGTAAGAGAGAAAATAGGGAGAGAAAGAAGAGAGAAAATRCCTGGAATCACTCACAGGGTGCCTAGAATCACTCTGGGCATGGGAATCACTCACCATAGTTAGCATAAGCTGAAGAAAACTCAATATACTTCATTGCCCTTTTTGTAAAACGTCCATACATATGTATCGATACGCCCTACCGGCATATTGGTACTTTTTTTTATTCAAATCCGATTCAGGGGGGCTGGTTTAAGGTTCCTCCACCCCCTAAACCGGTCAAAACCCCGGTACAAAATGCATAAAATCTCATAAAATTCCAATTTTGACTCTTTAGTCCTACATCATTATCCCCTGGTGCAAAAAACTTCGTCCTCGAGTTTTGAAGAACTTGAGGATGAAAAGTTGATATGTCCCAATTACAAAAGGAGTAGGACTTCCCACWGCTACATGCTTGGACTGTAGAGTAGAGGCCACACATAAAACTAGAAAAGGATCTTGAAAAAATGTGTTTTTGAAACACTGGCCTCCATAACCATCTTTGTTAAATCATCAATAACATTAGTTTCTTGAAAACTTAATTCATTAACCAGCCATTGCGATGAATCTTCCCATCGCTTATCCAAACTCTCAACTACAACATTTGGAACTTTTCCTTCAACCTCTAGCTTAGAAATCACCATCTCTATGTGTTCTGCTATCCTTGGTTCTTCAACAAACTCTAGGACTCCTTCTGTTGTTGATGTTGTTGGAACTGTGCTATGTCAAATTGTAATTCTTGAATTGGTTCTAGTTGAACTTGAAAGGGAAAGTCACTTACTTCCTTACTAGGATCTACTGCAATCAGCACATTTGTATCTTGCACATGAATTTCTTTAACTTGCTCCACTTCTATTTCTTCTTGATCATTAACCTCAAGCTATCATGGGTGTTAGAAACTCCAGCGATTTCTATTTTTTCTTGGCCTGCACCCTCTTGATTTTTAATATCTACAACTTCTATAGCTTCATCCTCAACATCATCTCTAGGATAGACATCAACATGAAAGGAATCATCTGCTTTCTTTTCAACTTTGTACCTTCTTCCCATTGACTTCAAGTTTTTTGTTGTAACCTGGTGCTTCTTCTTTTGCTTGAAATTAATCAACTCCATATATAAATCACCATGGAAGTTTAGTGGGATATACTTTTCTCGCAAACACCTCTTCATCTCTGACCATGTACTAATTGCATCATCACCTCTATTTTCTAGTCATTGCTCAAGAGTTCTCCACCATACTTTAGCATGACCCATCGGCTTCATACACACAAATCTAATCCTTCGTTTGTCAGACATATCATGTCAATCTAAATATTCTTCTAGTTCAGCAACCCAATCAAAGAATGCTTGTGGATCATCATCTCCTTTGAAATCTGGTATTTCCCTTTCTCTTCTAGCATGTTTGAAAACCTTACTCTCGTAGTTAACATTATTAGATCTGTTTTCTTGCGTCTTCTTCTCAAATAAGTCAACCAAAGACCCTTCATATGGTTCAACAACCTAGTCATTATTGATTCTAGACCTGTAAGATTATTTAGAAGGTACCCTAGGCCTATAGAATCAACCCCTTTGTGAGAACATAGTGTGAATAAACCATTAGCTCTGATACCACACTGATGTAAGACCAACTCAGTTCTAGTCCTTAGAGAATGTTGAATTGTCTTCTTTGATCAGAATTTTATGGCTGTTGATGGCTGTAATGGCTGTAATGGCTTCTTGAAGGAGTAAGAGAGAAAATAGGGAGAGAATGAAGAGAGAAAAATACCTAGAATCACTCACAAGGTGCCTAAAATCACTCTGGGCATGGGAATCACTCACCATAGTTAGCATAAGCTGAAGAAAACTCAATATACTTCATTGCCCTTTGTGTAAAACATCCATACATATTTATAGACTCTAAACTCATAATAATCATAGGAGTCAAACTGTTAGACTCATAATAATCATAGGAGTCAAACTGTTAGACTCATAATAGTCCTAGGAGCCAAACTGATAGACTCAATAATCCTAGTAGGACTCAAACTAAGTTGCCATATCCTATTTCAATTCAAAGAATACTCAATAACTTTAATCCTACTTATGCAATGACTTTGAAATTTAAAACATAAACAAACTATAACTAAACAAATTAACCCCCACCGTTAGACCCCACAGAAAAATGCAAAATGACAAAAATACCCCTACTGTCCAAAAATACAGAAATACAAAAAGAAATTCCAATTTTGACTCTTTAGCTCCTGCACTAATGGTGTATATATTAATTTGTATTACAAAAAGATATAGTATGCAATTGTGCAGCCTCACGAAAACAGAAAGCACAAATAAGATATCATTCAACATCAAAACTATCATAAAAAATATTTCTCCCACTAATTCCTGAAATGCTTCTACAAAAATCTAATGAATTCTTTCAAGATACAGGTCCAGCTGATCACAAGCCTCTCCACCTCAGCTATAGTAGATTCTTTGGGTTTGGCGATCACATTATACTGTTTGGACCAAATAGACCAACAGATGGCAAAAGGAATCAATTTCCACAGAATCCTTCCTCTAAACTCCAAGGACTGACTAGATGCAATTACTTCTGATAGATTTTTGGAAATTGCCCCTCTTCTCCTGAATAATTAGAAATGAGTCCAAATGCCATATGCATAGTTGCAATGCAGCATGAAATGATTAGATGATTCCACCTCTTTATAGCATAAGCTGTAGCTGTTCTCAAGATTCATCCCTTTCTGTAATTACCTGTTGATTGTGAGAATTCTATCCTGGATAGCTGTCTACATTTGATGGAACATGGGCTCTCACTTCCATGGAACCATCTCCCCCCTTTGCTCTGTTATCACCTCATAAAAGGAATTGATCATAAAGCTCCCTGACTTTGTAGCACTCCATAGTTTACTGTTAGGATTTCCTGGCCCCTTTGCTCCATTATCACCTCATAAAAGGAATTGATCATAAAGCACCCTGACTTTGTAGCACTCCACAGTTTACTGTTAGGATTTCCTGGGATGGTCTGAACCTAATTGATTTCTTCAAGCACAGCCATCATATTTTCTGCTTCTGAATTGAAGATATTCCATCCAGTGATTTAAAAGGCGTGCCTAGGCACACAGGCAAGGTGCCTCGTCTAGGTCCTAGGTGCAACCCTTTCAAAAGCCTTTTTAAAATTTTACACGCCTCAGCCCAAGCGTGCGCCTGAAGCTCTGAGAACCCCCTATTTGCTAATGTTGTTCATTCATTCATTTATTCTAATAAAATATTTTCTTAGAAGGCAATTAAAATTATAAAATCATTATTTTTTTATGTGAGAAATAAGAATTTAAGACCCTAACATGGACTTGTTTGGGCTTGCCTCAAGGGGCTTGGTACAAAGGCGGCTCATAGAATCAGGAGCGCAATATGTTTTACATCACATTAACTACTTGAGGTAATGCAATTGAGAAAAAAAAAGAGATTGTGGGTTTTATATGCTTGAATATGCTTTATATGTTTGATTTTATTTTTAAATTTTCATTTGAATACACTTTACCTTGTTATGTTTATGTGTTTTAATTTTAGATAATAGGTTTTTTAAAACATTTATTTTAAAATTTAAGTTTATATTTTTTATTAATATTGTGTTTAATATATATATTTTTTTATTTTTTTTGAATTCTCTGACATTTTTTTTTTGTATTTTTGCGCCTTGCTTCAAAAAAGCACGCGCCTCACCTTGTGCCTTGTGCTTTGGGCCCAAATTGCCCCTTGCGCTTTTAAAACACTGATTCCATCTCAAGATAGGCATCTATGCCACCTATCTTGAGCTATAATTTCATAACAGTCCTTATTAGTAGCATCTTTATTAGATGCCAAGTTAAACAAAGATGGGTAAGTTTCACACAATGGATTTGACCAACACCACATGGGTTTCCAGAAATATGGATAGGCATCCATGCCTTTCCATATGCTAGTTATGTATGAACTTCTAACTTGGGCTGTTTCCTAGTGAAGATCTACATTTCCATACTTTTCGTGGTTAACTTTCTTCCCAGCCTGTCTCTATCATCGATTTTTATCTGTTTTTTTCCCAGTAAATTGTTTGATCAAACTATATAGTATATACCCTCCAAAAAAGAGAACAACTTGGTGCCTATCCCCAAATTGGTGTGTTCTTTGTAAGGCTAATGGTGAAAATTTCTACCACTTGCTAATATCTTGTCCCTTTGTTATCTATATTTGGGTATGGTTTCTCTTTTTGTTTGGGTGCAGGTGCCTACGACTAATGTGTCTAGCCTCTTTTCTACAACAACCTTTTCTTGGCCAAAGAAAAGGGTAGGCTCGTTTTGATGTGTGTAGGGGCAGCAATTCCTTGGACAATTTGGGAACAAAGGAACTCAAGAATCTTC